GACCGGCCAACGTAGTGACAGCAAAGCAACGGCAGCAGTGATCAGCAACCAATGGACGTTAACTCATCAATGTCTAGAGTTCTGATGCAATCGTAGGCTCTAGCGTACGTCAACTCGAGTAACCCGTAGGCTTACAAGAGAACGAACGCCTCTGACCGAGCAACGGGTCAGAGGCGCCAAAGGGTAAATCACACTACTCAGAGCCAACATGTGGTATGCAGCGGCAGCAAAAAATGCTGAGTCACAAAAAGCTGACGATTTGGACGGGGACTCTGACGTTCTTAAATTTTTAAGGGTAGGACGCCCAGTCGATAATTCATTTAGCACCCACTCCATCCCTGGCACTACCAAGATTTCAGAGAAGTGCTATGTATCAATGTTTGGAAAAAATTCTACTTTTCGTTCTCACCATGGGCTGAAAGGAGGCCGCCCAGTCGATAATCCATTTACCACCCACTCCATCCGTGACTCTACCAAGATTTCAGAGAAATGCTGTTAATCAATGTTTGGAAAAAAGGCTACTTTTGGGACTGCTTAAACTGTAAAAAATACATCAATTTGCTGTCGCATGCTTCGCAACAGTTCATAGTGAGCTCTTCTTGACTTACACCATTGAGTCCACTGACTAGCCCTTGAGCTGTTTCCAGAACCTGATAATTCTTAAAGAGGCTGGTTTTCCACTAAAGCTAACCTTTATCCTGTTTAAAAACAAGAGGCGACACTCCCTTAGATTTACCTGCAGAGAATCACTTCTCGCGGAATTAGTGGAAGTAGTCAAACCTAATGCGTTACACTGCGACTTACACACTTTGGCGCTTGTGCAGGAAAATTTGGTACTGAAATTTCCAACTGCCAGGTTCTGGCACTGTAAATATCGGGTTGTAGACATTTTCAGTGTTAGTGAGAGAAGAGACATACACCCTAGGAGATAAGAAATTTACATGCAGGGGAAATGTAGACATCTTTTCAGCTGACAAACTTGTATTGACAAATTTCGAAATTTGCTGTTCACACAGGAACAGTTGACACCGAGTGTCAATTAAACCTTCGGTAAAAACGCATGTTGTAAAACTGCAGGCCATCACCTTTGTTGGCCCTCCGCAGAATGTTCACACATGAACACGTGACACAGAGTCATACTTTGACCTCGGTAAAATATATCTCACACCATATTGTACAACTGCAGCCAGCAGCATAAAAATAACAAGTAAGAGCTCGAGAGCTCCCGACTAGGGAATACCCTGAACCCTCTTATTCCAACACCACTTTCCCCGGTAGGGCTTGAACTCCCGGCAGACCGCTCCACTTGCTATGCCTCTACTCAGCAGCCACACCAATTATTAAGTACTTATGATAAAAAAGGAACTAAATTTCATTACAGAAAATAGTCGCAATTACCGTACTGTTAGAATGCGAAGCAGACGCGCTCGAATGTGTGGGTGTACATGTATACAGAAATGTTTAAAGCTACTGCCCCATTCAATTGCGCAATTGCATATAATTTTGGTGTTTTCTTAACCGATTTTTATGAAATTTTCTACAGTATATCTTATTGTACCATAGAATACTTGTGTACTCTTAAAAAGTCAATTGCATTTAAATTGTGGCTTAAATTGGTTGGTAATAAAAGTTGATTCATAGCTCTGGGGTGGTTGCAGGGAGGTGGCGATAGGTATAAAATGAAAGATACTTGACATATCTACAATATTCTAGAAGCAACATATCATGTTTGGTGACTCTTATTCTTTCCCAATTTGCTCAAAAAACAGGATGTCGATATCGATTTTTATCGATTGCTTGGAAACGGATCAAGTTATCGATTATCGGAAACAAACTCGATCACCACCCACATCAAGCACCCACATCTAGAGTCTATCTCTTATAGGTTCTGAGATCCTTGCGTTCATACATACGGACAGACGGACGAACGGACGAACAGACCTACGCTAAGAAATATCATGTTATAATAATATGTAGCAAGGGGCAAGGAGGAAAAGACCCAAATTAAACACAATATTTTATGACAGCTGGAGGACCTGGGATTCGTAAGAAAAAAATCAGTTTAATACAAGTACTCAAACAAAACTGTCTAGTTCATTTGCCATAGTTCAACCAATCCCATCTTGAAAAATAGAGGACTTGAAAGTACCCTTAGTACAGCTATGAATTTCTTCCCGGGAGTCAAAACAATCTATTGCGACACTGAGCTAGCTCTGAACTCCCAGACTATCAGCTCGCTTCTGATAATAAATAAATTTCAAATGAGCCGCCCTTGCATAATCTTGTTGTCTACAGTGGAGTACAACAACACGATCCATTCGGTCACTGACAAGCGGCCAGTTGATGCCGTCCGTTCACTCCCAGGCGAATCAACGACGGAGGTTCAAAATAAGCTTAAAAGGGCAGAGGACACACTCAGAGCTAGAGAAAATGACTTCCGGCGAAAAAGGGTTCAGTTCTCATTAAGGGGAGTGTGGTCCACAACGACAACCTTAGGTGCGGTTTCCCATTTAATATTTAATTTGACATTTTATTGTGCCATTTGACAGGTGCTCCCAATGCCTGCGCAGATCGAGTTTGTTTCCGATAATCGATAACTTATTCCGTTTCCAAGCAATCGATAAAAATCGATATTTACATCCTGTTTTCTAAGCAAATTGTTTAAATAATAAGAGCTAGAGTCACCAAACTTAATGTGTTGATTCTAGAGTACTATATATATGTGTCAAGTATCTTTCATTTTATACCTATCGCCACCTCCCCGCTACCATCACAGAGCTATAAATCAAGTTAATAACCCAACTTATATTGCCAACCAATCTAAGCCACAATTTTAATGCAATTGGCTTTTTGAGAATAGACAAATATTCTATGGTACAATAAGATATACTGATATACTGAAAATTTCATTAAGATCGGTTAAGAGAAAACCAAAGGTTTATGTAACTGCGCAATTGAATGGCACAGCTAGGGAAAACGTAAAGAAATTGTGTATTCATGCGTGTCTGCTTCGCATTCTATCGCATTCTAACAGCATGGTAATTGCGAATTTTTTCTGTAATGCTATTTTAGTTCCTTTTTTTATCATAAGTACTTAAGTATTGGTGTGGCTGCTGAGTAGAGGCATAGCAAGTGGGGCGGTCGGTCCCCAGTTCAAGCCCTGCCGGGGAAAGTATTAATTTTTTTTTTTTTGTGTGGCTGTTGAGTAAAGTCGACTGCAAGTAATGCGGTCAGTTGCGAGCTCGAACCCTGCCAAGGGAATTTTTTTTTTTTTTTTTAATTTTTTGGTGTTAAAATAAGAGGGTTCAGGGTATTCCCTAGTCTAGACTAGAACGTCTTACTTGTTTCTTTTATATTAAGTTACGAGAGTACAGGATCAGATTAACCAAATCACCCTCACAGTTAACCAAATTTTAAAGGCTGCTGTAGGTAAATTGATTCCGGCAATTTATACGAAACGCTTTTGGCAAGGAACAGAAATAAATACAACTGCGACAAAATTACAATCGATCCGGTCGCTCAAGAAAGCCATGTGCTGCGAATGGAGAACAACATCATTGCAGAATGCCAGGGTCAACACTACGTGCTGAAGACCTGCACAGCCACCGCAAGAACGACATTTTGTCAACGATCGACAGACAGCTCATCCACCTAGAAACTTCATGCTGGCGGCGTAGCTTATTGCGAAATGTAGCCAAGCAATCTAGACGCAATCATATGGGTTGATGACGGAATAGTCATCATCAACGATGGGTGCGTGGCACACAATTAATAACTTTCAATGATTGGGTCACTATAAAAGGAAAAAGGTACATAAATTGCAACAACGTTCAGAACTGGTTCCCAGGTATCTCAGGGTCCCCCCTGTTAAATATCACAGGTCATCAGGGCATCCTCAGTCTCCCTTACCGTCATCGATTAAATGAACGCAATATGGATACAACACAAGAAGTCAAAGACGAAATGGGCAAAATCAACTTGACATTATTGTTGGTTCTTTTTGGAGCAGCCTGTGGCACAGTCATCTGCATTGGCTTCACCTATTGGCGAATCATCAGGACGAAGACTACGGCTCAAAGGGTGATCGAGGTGATCGGGTCGGCCGAGGGTGGACTTAACTTGAGGGGGAGTACTCCAGCACAGACGCTGACTCAGCTCTGGGCCGGATGTCGTTGCACAGCCGGCAATGCACGAGGCGCAAGCTAAGCGTTTCTGCAGCAGCTATGAACTTGCATTGTGTAACTTAATAAAGATTCTTTGTAGCTTAATAAATGATTTTATATTGTCTTAAGTTTAGTTCATTTTCGGCATGCCTTGCGACACCACGTCCAAGCCCGTAAAACTCATTCATAATCTGAACGATTTAATTATGTCTTAATAAAATTCATTTATACAAAACAATGTATAAAGAAAAACTAACGTTTACTAAATTTATATACTAGATCAATATCAACAACTGCGTTGATATAGGCATATTTCTATGCGAACTAGCCTCTTAGACTTAAAGCTATCATCAGACGTTCCTATTTCGCCATTTTTAGGTTTAACAATGCTCCCTACATTTTTGCCAAATCTTATTCACATCGGACTACTAAATCATGTAGCTGTCATAGGAACGATCGGTCGGAAATTAAGTTGTTGTGTGGACAACTATTTTGTTGATCAAGATATCTTGAACAAGCTCGGGATTTATTAGTTTTAATCTGCTCGCTAGATGTACATATGCCAAATTATTCACTTCGATTATTTATATCATACAGTTTCCATAGAAACGACAGATCGAAAATTAATTTGTTCTATGGAAGACTTTTTTGTTTTACAAGATGTCTTAGCCATACTCTGCATGAACTATTTTCCCTATGCTTCTTAGATACGGGCAAAGCGTTCTGATCATTATGAATGGTTGGGTCTGCAAGGTTATTAAATCTTCGGCGTGCTGAAGATAGCCCTTCTTTCTTATAAATCTTGCGATTTATTTACTTACTGTACCAATTTTGCAGGAGAGCATCCTGCGGCCATGCATCATGGAAACTCTGCGCCCTTGCAGCCGCCGGAATTCTTTTTACTAGTGCTGCTTTCATGCGGATTATTGTTCTTTTTGGAGTCACACGCGCAGTCTATCCATCGCTCTACCACATACCAGAACACAACCGGTTCAACCACATCCACGCAAGGAAGCCCAAACGTCCTGATCAACTGCGTAGAGCAGCAACGTCATCGACTACACCGAAACCAAGTGGAGAGTAGCATTTGGCCGCCAGCCACATAGCTACGTGAAACACAATGCGGATGTATATACACAAGCAACTTTTAAGTTTATTAGGGTTCTGAGTTGTCTCATGTTTTTAGATCTCGTTATTACTAAATTAAAAAAGCAGTTTACTCAAGCCAACCCAGAAATTTTGATAAATTTTCTTAATATATTATTGAATAATAGGAGTTTTTTAAATTCTGCATGTTGGCTTTGAAATGCATCATGTTTGGGAATGGTGCTTGATAACACAGGTACAGTAATATACAACACTGATATACACACAGACACTCTCAACCAGATATTGTAAATAATGCTATTAGTCTAATTTTTCTATTTCTCATTGCTTAAAGTAAGTTTCAAAGGTAATCTTTGCCAGTTAGAGCTTGAATACCTGTCTGTTCTATTTCGCTCCCTCAAGATATAACACTTGATAAGCAAGCAACTAGCATACTTTCAGCTTATGCATATGTCTAAATTTATATAATTACAGGCCCCAAAGGAAATTTACTTTATTTGTCGTTGTTTCGTCTAGAATATATGTATGTAGCTAAATTTAAGAAAATTAGCGTTCACAAGAGTTCATTATATGCAGCTTAATATAGATATATTGATATATGTACGTATATAAATATAAAAATATACATACGTACACTCTAGGCTGGGCCCAAAAAAAATTTTGTTGGAAATTTTAAAGGGACACTTAATTATATTATCTTACATGAGATATTGCTAATTGTAAGACATGCCCACATTTGGCATGAACAAATAGTATAATTGCGTTGCGTAAAACATCACCATATGTACATGATACCAAAAATGTCAGTAATTCATTAATGACTGAAAGAGATAAATACTATAGGCATCGATGGACAGTCTGATGATCGATCGTCCGTTATTTTGTTCAGTTACGTCTGCACAAACAGTTTGTGCGCTTCGAAGAGAGTTAAAATTAAAATTAAATTGATCTGAATACCAAGTATTTTTTATTTAATGGCAAGCTGGGAATTTTACAACTTATAAAAGCAACAATAGCCCTGGACACAATAAAAATAAAATAATTGTTGCTCTGGTGTTCTAAATACAATTGAATAAGTAACTTTAAAAAAAAGTGACTTGTGCTTGTGAGAAGGAATAAGGACCATTTATGCGAAAAAGTGAATCTGCAAAAAAATCATATTGTGAAAAATACTTGAAATAAAAGTAAATATAAAAAAATGTATTCATTTCACAGCAATTGCAATTGCTTGCTTTTACCGTTAAGAACCCACATATTAAAATATGTATGTATGTGCATGAGAGCATACGCTTACATATGTATGTGTGTGATTACAATGGCGCGGGGCCATTGAATAATAAAACAAGTAAGAGGTTCTAGTCGGGAGCTCCCGACTAGGGGATATTCTGAACCCTCTTCTTGCAACATCAAATGCATATACATATTCTATTTTAGAAGCTATATGTCAAGCTTGGTGAATCTAGCTCTTATTATTTACCAAAATCGCCCAAAAAACAGGATATCGATATCGATTTTTATCGATTGCTTGGAAACGGAGTAAGTTATCGATTATCGGAAACAAACTCGATCTGCGCGGGAACTAGGAGCAACTTCATCTACAATTTCAAGTCTCTAGCTCTTATAGGTTCTGAGATCCTTGCGTTCATACATACGGACGGACGGGCGGACAGACCGACGGACATGGCTAGATCGACTCGGCTATTGGTGCTGGTCAAGAATATATATACTTTATGGCGTCAGAGATGCTTCCTTCTGCCTGTTACATTAATTAACATTTCGCACAAGTACAATATAACCTTTTTACCCATTTTTAATGGGTTCAGGGTATAAAAAAATTGAATTGCACTTTCCACCGTGAAAGCTTTGATTTTCCAAAAATGCGAGACGACAGCCACCATATCTCTGACCCCCATTTCCACCAAGGTGTAATACATTTTTTGAAAAGTGTGAAACACCCCACAAGTGAATTTGAACAAAGATCTTTGAAATTAATTTTTAAATTTGAATTTTGATGCCGATGGGATGGTAAACAAAAAAGTTACATACAAACTTCCGCAATTTTTCCATTGTTGTGGGTGGAATTTCCCGAAACGCCGTCGTAAAGTGCACCTTCATCACATAAGGTAACTACAGTTGAAATTTCAGCTTCCTAGCTCTTATGGTTTGGGCTGTGCGTTGATCACCAATCAGTCAGGTAGTCAGTCAGGACGAACAGTTTTATATATAGAGATAGTTCAATTAAAAAGAATCAATTTTTTGCATATGCCAAAGAAACATATTATAACTTCTTGCAATATAAATACAGGCACGAACGATAAATACATATGTACATACATACATATACATACTTAAAAACTCTTTCCTACCGCCCCGTACCAGCGCCAGAGAGCGATAAGCGATATAAAACATAATCTATGGTACAAAAATTAAAATTTGGCTTTCATACGTACGTAATATATTTATTTATGTCAGTATTCTGTTCCACATTGGTTCAGACAACTTACATTTGTGCGTGTTGTTTATTCTTGCATTAAACTCTATGGCATTAAACTCAATGGGTAAGGTGTTCTCCGCTTTTTCCTTTTTTCGTAGTATTACATTTGTTGAAGACGTCTTTTTGTCCTTAAATTTAAATTTAAGCAAAATTACTTAATAATTAATTAAATTACCAAATTCATACAATGCTACCAATAATACGTATCTACTGAAAACCGAACAATATCCGATTTATTGTTCGCTGAAAGGGGGTAAAGACTAAGTGGCCAATTATTTTTTATTTTTATTTTTATGAGTTATTTAACTGTCGATAATAAGTTGTATTGGATATTTATTTATTATTGTTATTTGTAGGATTTGGTTTCAATATTGAGTGGCTGTGCATTTATTTATTTAGTAATATTAGTAAAATTTGTCGACCAGTATTAGGATTTATGGGTCTTAGTAAAATTTAGAGTGGTATCTCTATGAGAGATTAGACATGGTTGGGCAGGTATTCGACTGGGGCTCAGACGCTAAAGTCAGAGAAAGAGTTGCCGTAACTAGATAGGCCTCCGCGAAACCTAGAGTTCCCTAAAACGCCGAAAGATTCAGTGATTACGTCAGCAATAAACGCTGAGATTGCTACGACCTTCCAGGACTCCGCGCGGAAATTTTTTGCCACCAATGCCGCTGAAGCCTTAGAGGTAAGGCGCTTATTCGCTAAGGCGAGGAACTGGCGTAGTCCCAATAATGGCAACTTCCGAGTAGATGACCGGCTGACTTTCAGCCGGAGGAACCGTATGCCAACGAACGGGAAACTCGAGCGGTGGAGCGGTAACTTCAACGGCGAGGAAACAATGAACTCCGTCGAGGATTTTGTGTTCTTACTAAAGTTCCTGCAGAGGTAATACCAATACCCGTAGAAGGAGGGTAACTGGCCGTGCCCGCGAGGGATAGTGGGTACACGAACGGCATTCTAAAGTCAAAAGCTGTGTGCAATTACGACCTGCCCATTTGGACAGGTTAAGGCATATTATACAGAAGATACTGCAGTGAGAGCAAAAGGGCTAGGCAAGGGGGTGAACAATTATATCCATCACATGTGTAAATTTCGAGAAGCTGCATGGAGACCGGGAATTGGTGAGAATAATAAAGCAGGGCTTGAAGGAAAGCAGGGTAAAAAGAAAGCCTATGCGATTGATGTACTCACCGTGGTTCAGTTCCGCCAAGAGTGCTTAGAGGTGGAGACGCATATTTGTCGCAGACGACGATGGGAATACACGCAACCGGAAAGTTCGAAGCTAATGGTTCACGGGATTGGGATACCTCCGGACGGTGCGCAAACCCCACTAAGAGAGCTGGAGGAGGTCTTCGTGAAAGGAAGAATACACTTCCGACTAGTCTACTGGAATTGTAGAGTCCGAACATGTGTTTAGAATCTGGCAGGTGCGGGATCCGGACACTCTGTGTCCACAGTGCAGAAACTGTCCGGGAAACTGTAGAGGGTACGCGGGACAGGCGCTTAAAATGCAAGGAGATCAATATGAATACAAAGAATAACAATATGGATAACAATAAAGATAAAAATAAGGTTACGAATACGAATATTACTAAAGGAAAATACTTAAGATACTTACCATATGAAGAACGTGTTCGGGTATATATGCCGGCACTTCATAGAATTTTTCCTGAGCAAAGCTGGCTGGAATGACGCCGGCAACCCCGCGAGTTCTTAGAAACAATAACAAGGAGTTAGAAGAGGGTAGTTGCTTAAATCATAGGCTGTAGCTCAACACAAAAAGGGAGCGCAAGGACTTGATGATAACGTTTTTTTCAGTGTCGAGTCGTTTGTTTTGATTATGGTTATTGTGTTTTTTTCTAATAGAAAATGTTTTGAAGTTGCCTTTGAATTTTGGGCAACGCAGAAGTAGTTGTAGAGAGTCGAGTGTTGTGTTTGCAACCTCGGTATCGTGAATCATGTATTTTGAAAACAGAATTTGGCCCGAAAACGCTGTCTGTCTACTTATTACTCAATGGCTGTAGCCCCAACACCTGCGAATTCATACCACTGCTGAAAGAATCGTTCAACTTAGCAGCTCTCTGTGTTATTTATCTTTATCTTCATCAAGAAGAAGAAACAAGATGCTGGGCTGATTCAGTAGGTCTGGTATTCAATTAAAATTTGTAGTTCATGCTTAATGGCCTATATGAGTATAGCGTACCTATTAATAAATTCCAAATAAATCTTTAGAGATTTCCAATCGTGTGGAGTAGTATTAATTAATTTGCTGATGACATTTGTTGCATTTGACATTATCGGAAGTTTCGATATTTGTTTGTTGTGTTATCGACGTCACCCAAATAGTGAGAATGTGTCAACGCTGATCATTCCTCACCCCAAGCAGCAGGCAAACTCAGCCTGAAAAAACGCCGAATTTTAATTCGCTTTTGATTTCCTAAATGTATTTAGATATATTCTCTTTGAATGTACATATGTATATGTTGATTCCACTTAGTTCTGGTGTTAGCCGAAAGGTGCAGCAGATGATGAAGGGATTCAATGACCATTTCTCCTTAAGGCGATAAGACGATAAGGCGTTCGGTTTTAGATATTTAGATATTGGGTACGACCGACCGATATAAATGTCACTTACAAACTAACTACAATAGAGTTTTTGTGACGAAACCCCAGATGAAAGCAGCTGGAAGTGCTGTTGCCGCTAGTAGCGATAACGCTGAGCTTGTGCCTCGTGCAAGGCATCAGGTTATCATAAGCGCGCTTGATGTTGCTGTCCACCCCAATACTGACTGTTGTTTATCTCTTAAATGCTTCTGTTGCGTGGTCGTTGATAGGCAGTGAACTTGTGTATAGAGTTTAATTTAAAAAAATCCATTGGTTGCAAGAAGCGAGGGAACGACCCAAACTGAACTGTACTTGAGAGCCGATAAGCCAGCTGAAGAAGGGTTCGACCCCTTGTCTCAGCGTACAGAGTTCTTGCTCGATAAAGTTAATTGGTACTGGAAATCTACTCTGCCTAAAATAGCGTCGGAATTCAAAGCAGTATGGAAGGAAGCAAGTACCGCGTCTGGGGGGCCTCTGATCTTGCTCCTTATAATGATCATTGCCTGGTAATGGGAGATCTGCCATTAAATGGCTTGAAGATTTTATAGGAGGTGGTGGCTGCCTGGCGCCATGATACGTAAGTTTCTTATAAATCTACAAATTCTGGCAGATATTTTACCGTGTCTTAGGACTCGACACATTTGATGCCCGGAATCCAGAAGCAATGCGAATGCTCAGCGCGGAACGTTTTTACCGCTAGTGCCGCTGGAGCCACAGAGGTAAGGCGCGCGTGGAGCAGAGTATTCGTCCACCAGCCCAGGCTTCAGCGAGAATGTTCAGGCGCGGAACATGCGTAGCCCCAATAACCAAA